TTAATTTCAAGCATGTAAAACTTATGTCAATTTTAAAATGATTTGAATTCAAATCATGAAAAGGGGAACTGCATTATTGATCTTGATGATACTGATTCTGGCTAAACTGAATTGAGTCTTTGTCATAAACTCAAATTTTCCAATCCTTATATCTTTGCAACCTGATGCTGTAAACCTGTGATATTTCAAACAAAGATTACTTGATCAATCAGAATTCATAGCTTGAAATATCTAAGGTTTCCGACTTAGGGTTGCAAAGATATAGGAATTAGAAAATCGTAGTTTGTGGCAAAGACTCAATTCCTTTGGGCATTAAACTAGAAGGAAGCACTTCGTCAAACATTAATATTTTAGATTAAGAAAAGAAAAAATTCGGGAAAACTTTTGTACATTTATTTTTTCAAAAGTTGAAGACCGTGTTAATTCTATCTTTTGATGTAGAGAAGTTCCATTAGTTAATATGTTTTTTTTTAGGTAATTACCCTTATTTTTGTATATGCATAAGTAATGAGTCTTTGCCACAAACTCAAATTTTCTAATCCCTATATCTTTGCAACCTGATGATGTAAACCTTTAATATCACTTGATTTTTGATCTAACAAAATTCAAAGTTTAAAATATCTAAGGTTGCAAAGATATAGGAAATATAAAATTAGTGTTTGTGGCAAAGGCTAAATTTCTAAATTGGTTCCTTGTGCAGTACATAGTGCATGTAAAGATATATGGACACATTTTGATACAGAAATTGAAGTATTTACAGTTGTAATAAAACATGGTTACAATATGTCCAATAACATAAAAATTCTTGAACTGTATAATCTGGAAATAAAATAAAATGTATACTCCGTCTTAGTTTAAAGTTTATATTAAAGATTAGAGGGTTAACCTATATTAATTTTCAGACATATGGGGACCAATACATTAACAGATAATACTAATGAACCTCAATCCAGGTTTTGAAAGGCCCCCCCCCCCCCCCTCCCATCTTGAGTTATCTTTTTTGAGGAGTTTAGGTTTTTGAAAGTTTTGCATTAAAAAAAACGGATGGGATAGAAATTAATCCTTGACGCTTAAATACTTACAATTCTGCAGCTTCTAGAAAAATAAAGTTTTTAAAGATAAATAAGAAAAATTTGCCAACATTGATCAATAAAACGTTTAAAGGGTTACTATTGTGAATCGGTTACGCCACTCTACACATAGAGGGTTACTTGAAATTACTCCTACAGTCCCTTTAAGTATGAAATGGCTATAAATTGATCCATGGATACAACATGATAATGAATATATATTCCTACATGAATAGATTGGTAAACTAATGATGTAAATGTAGAGTAAGCACAGCTTAATTTATTTTATTGTTAAATCAATAATCTACTGAACAATGCACCTTGGAGAGGTTCGATAATTCGGATTAGCCACCCCCCCCCCGCATCTTATTTCTTCACTCTCCATTCCTGCACCCCTCCCCCTCCCATCACCNAAAGGGATAGCAGCAATTTTCAAACACAACTTCATCTTTCTCAAACATTTAAAGATATTTAATAATAGAATCCTTCATAAATTACAAAAAGGAGAACAGGAATATTTTGTGAAAGAGCTGGGATGGGGGGGGGGCAAATTAAGGATAATCAAATATCGAAGAAATTAATATGTTTAGGGCCCTAACTAAGAACCTGGATTTAAATTAGATGCTTGACCTTCTTGCAGATAACCACATAGATACAGCCCATGTATACCTTGAGCCCCCTGAGAACTGACTGCAGTGAGGGATATGATGATTCTGAAGATGAAGGGGATCCAACCCAAATTCCAAGGCCGATTTTTCAGGTTGGAAAAAAGTTTTATTTGAGGAGGTCAAGGGGGATGGGGAGGGGTTATATGTCACTAGATGGATTTGTTCCTAGTAATGGGATGATATAATTTAGTTACATTTTTATTAATTTGTTTAGGATAGAAAACCCCTGAACGAAATGGACATTGGTTTAATCAGCCTGTTTATATGTTTGAAAAAAAATATGTAAAAAGTAAATGAAATTGTTATTTTTTGAATAGTTTGTTTTGTTTAATGCTTGCAGGTTTATTTAAGCAAGCTTAGGAGTTACAAAAACAAAAACAAATTTTACTACATTTTGTAACAATTCGAAAAACATTTTATTTATTTAATTCCATTTATCTTCTAAAAAAATTTTTTTCAAAGTTTTCCTTAGATAACTTACATCGTAAACAAAGAATTAAATTAAAAACAATTAATGTTGTAGGTGTCATATTTTTTATGTATTTTTTGTAAATAATAAATATTATCTTACTTATTAACTGTTTAGATTTAAAATGTTTTTTTTTTATAATTTATACAAAAATATATTTGATAATCTATAACGGCATATTTAAAGGTGTAACAAATACCCTTACTCCATAATAATTTACTCGAGACGTATCTTTCCAGGTCTATTCTTTATAGCAATCCAAGTCAACCAGGACAAGGTCCACACAGGTACTGAACTTGTTAAGATATCATAAGATATCAAGATAACATAATGCTAGTGATTACTTATGAAGATTAGGATTGCTAAAACAAGTATTCTTTGCAAGAAGTCTAAAATAGGGTTTCCATTCGCAAAACTTTTGCGCAATCTTTGCGGAACNCAATGCACAAGAATAAAGGGATAGCAGCAATTTTCAAACACAACTTCATCTTTCTCAAACATTTAAAGATATTTAATAATAGAATCCTTTATATAATAACAGAATCCTTTATAGATTATATAGATTATAAAAAGGAGAGAAGGAATATTTTGTGAAAGAGTTGGGATTGGGGGGGGAGGGCAAATATCAAAGAAATTAATATGTTTAGGGCCCTAACTAAGAACCTGGATTTAAATTAGATGCTTGACCTTCTTGCAGATAACCACATAGATAAAGCCCATGTATACCTTGAGCCCCTGAGAACAGTGACTGCAGTGAGGGATATGTTGATTCTGAAGATAAAGGGCATCCAACCCAAATTGCAAGGCCCATTTTACAGGTTGGAAAAAACTTTAATTAAATAATGCCCCATATTATCAGTAAATATTCTTGATTATGTTATATATAAATATTTTCATAGGCAAAAGTGGCTGAAGTGAGAACTCTGTCTGGATGAGTTCAACATTGAGGAAGCTGAATTTGGAAAATTAACCCACTTGATTAGAGATCCATATGATGGCCATGCATGATGAACATGAATTAAAAATAGCTCGAGATGCTTGGTTATGGGAAAACAAAATCAGAGATAAAACAAGCAAAGAAGCACCACCTTTTCCTGAAACTAACTTTCAGAAATACAGAGATTTCTCTCCTGAAGAGATATTCTTCATCTCTGAGGATATCTTGGAAGAAATAGCCAAATGTTCCAATCAGTATGCTCTGACAAAAAGTGGTGAGCTTTCAAAGCAGTGAGATCAAAGTTTGCTATGCTGATAGCACCTTTTCATTGTGAGAAAGAATCAAAGATCTAGTTGTGCATTAGAAGGTTGTACAATAAAGTGTCAAACTGACTGTGATAATTGTGATAGAGCCATTTGAGCTGTGACCACTTCTTTGGGTTTCACACGAAAGAATGGTGTGAATAATATGGTTTTTTTTAAAATAAACTATTTTTTTTGCATTATTGTTTATTAGTAATGTTTGAAATTAAAGAGTGAACATATTTTTGAGTAAATAATAGTTCCTATGGTCATTTATATAACATTTTAGTGAATTAATTTTGCCTTTTTTATAAATTTTGGAAAAATTCTGTATACCCCACCTGCAGCAACTGCGGTGACTTATAAGGCCACACTAAAAACCCCTAAAAAAACACCTTTAAATTTTTTTTTGGCATTTTTTACTTTTTTTCCTTGATCTAACCAATAATAAGTATTCTTAATCAAATTTTCAAAGAAAAATATAAAAAAAAATTCTTCATCCGCTAGTGGGTTAATAGATCCTCAATTTAAAGTGCCCACAGTAGATATCAAGATAAAGAGAACCTATATATAAATTTGGCTTGTCTGTCTGTTTGTTTGTTTGTCTGTTTGTTTGTTTGCATCCAATAAACGTCAAAACGGCTGAACTGCAATCGGGCCCAAATTTTTTGTGGGACATCACGTGACCACAGGGAAGGTTTATGAATGATAAAAATTTCAAATATTTGTCTCCATCAAAATTTGATCTTCATTAAATTTTTGAAAATTTTGAAAATCCACGAAATTTTTTGTGAAAATCCGCGAATTATTTTTGTATTGTTTTACGATGTTCACAAAGAGAACATGTTCACAATTAATTTAGAAGATGGGCGCGAAGTCTAGTGGTGTTATAAGTATAGAACACAAAAGTTCTCCACTCTGTTTATATTGTTAAATATATAAAAAATATTGTTTTTGTGGAAAAACAAAACAGTGCTCGAGACAAATAAATTTAAAAACATACCACTACAATTCCAAATTATGTTTTTACAAATGAATGCTATGGATTTAAGGGATTGTATGGAAAATCTTAACATTTATTTATGTTTAGGAAAAGGCATTCAGTCTTTGTCAGAAACTCATATTTTCTAATTCTTAAATCTTTGGAACTAAATTATTTGATCTAACAGAATTAATTTTAAAAATCTAAGGTCTTCGATATTTTGTTGCAAAGATTTGAAAATGATTGAATCAGAGTTTGTGGCAAAGATTCCTAAAAACTAGTATCTATTTCATATCTTACAAAAAATTAAATATTGAATACATTAGAAATACTTAAATTGTAGAACTGTTAGATGCATAAATCTGCGGAAGGATACATACAACCAGTGTTATTTATTTAATTTCGTTTTATATATAATTATAGTATACATTAAAAATACATTAAATTGTAGAACTGTTAAATGCATAAATCTAGCTGTGAAAGGATACAGAAAACTAGTGTTATTTATTTCATTTCTGTTAAAATTTAAATATAGTATACATTAAAAATACATTAAGTTGTAGAACTGTTAGTTGTGTTATTTATTTATTTTCTTGTAAAATTTAAATATTGTATACATTGAAAATTCATTAAATTGTAGAACTGGTAGATGCATAAATCTATGGAAGGATACAGAAAACTAGTGTTATTTATTTAATTTCTTTTAAAATTTAAATATTGGATTAAAAATACATTAAATTGTAGAACTGTTAGATGCATAAATCTATGGAAATCTATATTCATAGATATAGTATCTTATGATGAATATTTTTTAAATTAGAATATTAGAAGGTTTATATAATTATATATTAAAGAATCCCATATTTTACTCCTCATAGTTTTTGAAGAAAATTTGAATTAAGAACTTGCAAGCCCCCCCCCCCCCCCTAGTAATAAGCTAAGCAATAGCTTTATTACTAAAGGTTCCTGCGGTTATTTTTAAATATAAAGTACATCCCCCTTGTAAAACTACATTGAATATCCTGGAATTAAAATTGTTCAACAACTTCTGGCCTTCTTGTTCACTTTGTCAAAAACATCAGGGAAATTTCCTTCACAATTCAACCTTTTCCTCATCCTAATAATTAAAGTTATTATTCAACTACTGCAGATTAAAGGTATTCTTCAATTACTACAGATTAAAGGTAGTGTTTAATCACTGCAGATAAAAGGTAGTGCTACGTACTGCGGATTAAAGGTAGTGTTCAACTACTGCAGATAAAAGGTAGTGTTCAACTACTGCAGATTAAAGGTAGTGTTCAACTACTGCAGATTAAAGGTAGTGTTCAACTACTGTAGATTAAAGATAGTGTTCAACTACTGCAGATTAAAGGTAGTGTTCAACTACTGTAGATTAAAGATAGTGTTCAACTACTGCAGATTAAAGGTAGTGCTACGTACTGTAGATTAAAGGTAGTGTTCAACTACTGCAGATTAAAGGTATTAGTGTTCAACTACTATAGATTAAAGATAGTGTTCAACTACTGCAGATTAAAGGGAGTGCTACGTACTGTAGATTAAAGGTAGTGTTCAACTACTGCAGATTAAAGGTAGTGTTCAACTACTATAGATTAAAGATAGTGTTCAACTACTGTAGATTAAAGGTAGTGTTCAACTACTGTAGATAGATTAAAGGCAGTGTTTAACTACTGTAGATTAAAGGAAGTGTTTAACTCTGTATATTAAAAGGTAGTGTACTGCAGAATAAACCTCAAACTAACAGAAATTTTAAAAAATTACGAAAATTTGTCAGATTTTTATGATTTATGAACATATGAAAATAAAATGGATAAAAATAAAACAAAGTCGAAAAGCTAAAAATCTTAATGAGTCGAAAAACGCCCAAATGGGTGTAAGATAAAATATTTTGGAAAAAAGAAGCGGGCAGTAGAATACAACGATTGATTGAAAAAATAATTTATAATTTTTGTCAACTGCGCTAATTTTGTAAGGGTTATAGTGGTCCATCCATAGCTTTTTTTATTTATTTCTTCTAATTTTTATTTCAAGATAGTTCTAACTCTCAAAAATATTATTGCCAATCCAAAATTTTGGCACAAAAAAAAACCCAACACTTTACGAACATCAGTCAATTTGTTTAAAATTCATGAATTAATTTAAATAAAATTTTAAAAAAGAAAGAAAAAAATACATCTTCAAACAACTGAAATATAACCCTTTCAAATAAATCATTGCGAGTAAAAATTGGACAAAAGTTGTTCCCTCTGTACCCAAACCCTCTTCTGGAAAGTTTTTTATACAGGATTGAATGTAACGACCTGTCATAGAGGGAATGGTCAAACATGGCCCTAAACTCAGGTTTGGTCATATAGGAGTCAGCATACATCATCTGGAATCCATCCGTCTTTCTAAATATTAGAACAACTATTACGATTAATAGGTTTTAAGAAAACAGGGGTATTTATTTTGAAGAATTTTACTCCAAGGAAAGTGATTTTTAAAATAGGAAAATTTTAAAATTAGACATCAACTGGCAAATTTTCCTCTTTTTTGATACTTCCTATATTTTAAATAATATTTTCCCCCAAAACATCATTTATTTTCCCTATTTTAGTGCTATCCCGCGCGGACAAACTTTTTTTCTGTAGAATTTTTATTTAAGAAAGACGATTTATTTGGAAAACGATATCACTTTCAAATCAACTTCAGACAAGAAGTTTATGAATGATGTCTTACATATGTTTGTGTTTGAGTGACCGCTCTCATCAGTAGGGTTTCCGTTCGCAAAACTTTTGCGCACATTTTGCAAAAGCAAGGGGAAATTTGGGCTTGCTTTGCGCTACATTTTTGTGCGAAAAAACTTCGCTCAATCATTCGCAAACTTTGTTTCGCGCAAAAATGCGCTACACTGCTTTTGCGTTATTCTGTTTTGCGCAACATATTCTTATTTAAAGGTTGATTAAATGGTTTAACTTACACATTAGTTATCTATAAGATTGCACTTTATGGGATATTAATGCAAAGCTTAAAAAGGAAAATGATTAATTACTCTACTTTGCAGTCTGATGCATGATGGCACACTGCAAATCAATATGTGCTCACTCTAACTCAAAAATCGAGCAGCATTATGCCAACTACTCCTTTTAAAGTTAAGCTAGAAACATACACGTTGCATTTTTAAATGGTATATATCTAGGACTAGAAAAAAAAAGATTTGTGAATTGTGAGAAAAACCCAAAGGCTAAGGCGTTAACAACTTCAAAATTGAGGCTGCATAAAGATTTGATGACTCAGGGTTGTCCATATCTCAGTGATATTTCAATCATTCGACTAGAACCAGTAAACATTTGAAATATCAAAGGTTGCCGCCACACAAAGATTCATACGTCTAAAAAAAACCATGCATCAATTTTCAATTAATAATTTCCATCTTATTAATTTTGAAGTTTTTGTAATTTTAAGCAACCAATTCAGAGAATTAAGTCGGTTGTTTGATTTTGTGCTAAAACTTGACTGCAAAACTCACAATTTTGGCCAATTTGCATAAAAATTATTATGTTTTGCGTAAAAATTTACGTTTTGCGCAATACTTCCAGTTTTGAGCAAATTATCAAATTACGCAAAAAAATTGCGCAAAACTTACTAAAAGATGCACAAAAAACAAATTTGCGCGAAAATTAAGCAAATTTTGCGCAATAAATATGGTCATTTCGACGTAATCCTACTTATCAGCTACAAAATTTTATAAGAAATAAAAAGGTAAATCGTTAACATAAGTACAGTCGTTAAAATCTTAAAAAACAAAAAAAACCTTTTTAACGTAAAAAGGACGAATAAAAAACAATACCATCGCTTTTTAAAATAAAAACGATTCTTAAGAAAAATGTCGTTTTTACTTTGTCAACAGTTAAATGTTCCCGTCCATAGACCCATTAAACTGTAAAATAAAATACTCTAGCATGAGTTAGCCGAGTGACGTGACGTTTTTATTTTATTTTATTTTCAAGCTACTGATAAAAAACATTGCTTAAAAACCACATGCACAAAAGACTGTTTATAGCGTCCTCCTATTACAAAGCTTTATGAGTCCCTTTATAAAAATTTGGAAAAAAAATGCTCCATTAAGAAAGGATAAAAATTTGAGAAAATGCTTTTATTTTTTCGAACCTGACAAAATCCTCAATTTTTCTTGTCACAACTTCAGCGTTAAACCCTGGTCTTTTTGGAACTCCATAAACTCCGATATCGACAAACCTAAGCAAATATTTCAAATATTAAATGAACCCCGGATAGAATCTTAGAGTCTGAAACCTAGTCTTAGACGCCGGGCCGACCTCCTCAGACCCTCTGTTTTTGGAAAAAAATATCAAATTTCACCAAATATATGTAATATGAGCAAAA